TCCTGCCGCGATGCTTCTCTGGGAAAGCCCCTTTCCCCAGTGGAAAGGCTTTGAGCAAGGATGTACCTACTTATGTGTCCAAGCAGCCATTTCAGGTGAGGTTTCCGCTGGGAGCTCAGCACAGGAGCTATTCCTGGAAGAGTCATTGGACTTTTCCTGCAGAGCTGCGCTGTGTCTGGCCTGTCCCGCTCCTCCTGGATCTGCTCCCTGCCTGCAGGCTGACACCTTGTCTCTAGTCGTTGGTGACACATGAGAAGTTGCCTTCCATGTAGGGATGGACTCTTGCCACTCTGGTGCTCTGCTGTAGCCTGTATTTTTTTTTATCCTGGATGTCTTCATTTCTCATGGTTCCTGTCTGCACACAGGCTCACCCCAACCGGATCCAGATCCTCATGGCAGTAGTGCAGTACAAGACGCGGCTCAGCAAACCCCGCCGTGGTCTTTGCTCTACCTGGTTGGCTTCCCTCAACCCACAACATGGTAACAAGTTGCTTGGACTATGTGGAGGGCTCTGTGCACTGGCCGCAAAGCACAGTGCTGATCCCTGGGGACGATGGTGGAGCTCTGTGTGTATTAGCCATGCAGCTGAGCTGCCTGGACCTTAGGTGGAGCACCACTGCTGCAGGGAAATGGAGCAAAACAGCTGGTCAGGACGGCTGAACTCACAGTAGCTGTCCTTCCTCACTGCTCCCATGCTCTTCAGAGCACAGCATGCCTTTGCCTCTCCCCAGCCTGCCCTGAACACCCTGCATGCCTGGTTTTCACCCAGCTGCCCGACCGGCCTGCTCCCAGTGCCAGTGTGCCTTGCTGTCCCCACAGTTGGCTGCTCCTGGCATCCTGGAGCTAGTAATGTTCTGGTTGCTGGACACCTCCAGCCCCATAGCACCAGCTCCAGGAAGAATGGTGATTCCTTTGAGCACATCTGTGCTGTCCCTCTAAGCCTCTGTGTGCCACTCTAATCATGGAACCCCGGCAGCTGGGTCCCCTCGCAAGTGTGATAAGCTCACAGGGTCTCCCTGCTGCAGGATAGCAGGGGATTGATCTGTATGACTCCAGGGCATGACTGGGTCTTCTTAGAGTACCTAGATGGGGATCTTCACCTCTCCTTTGGCTCCCTTGCATGATAGCCAGGTAGAGATCTCTGCTTACCTCCGCTGCTGTCTTTCATGGTGCCCAGTATCTGTGTGAGGAGGGGGCTGTCCCACAGTGCTGTGGTACTTCTGCCTTGCTCTGGGATTCACTTAAGTGCTTTGCACAGTGACAAAGCACTTGCTGGGACAGCTGAAAGGCTTTTCACACGCACATAGTGTGATATTGCCGCGTGAGTGCCTTGATGCTGAGGTGATGTTAAGCCAGGCACAGTCCATATTTCTGGAGCGCTGTGGAACAGCTGGAGCCTGGCATAGCTTTGGGCTGGCCTAGGCAGTGCCCTCTGCAGGGTATGTTATGGGTACAGTGGTCATGGAGCAATGCTAGTCAGTCTGTTTGTTTTGCAGGAGATGTCCGGGTGCCTCTTTGGGTGAAGAAAGGAGGAATGAAGTTCCCGGTTGACCCTGACACCCCTGTGATCATGATTGGCCCTGGCACAGGAGTGGCACCTTTCCGAGCAGCAATACAGGAGCGTGTAGCACAGGGACGGAGAGGTGAGGGAGGATCCTTGTAGGGACTCTGGGGTGCCTCTTGCTGCAGGCAGCTTGTTCAGCATACACAAAGGAAGGATTGGGGGGCTCCTGAGGCTTTGGACAGGCACAGGCTCTGCTGTGGTTAAGTGGGAGCAAGCTCAGCTCAACTGTTACAGGACAGACCACAGGTATGTGGGCTCTGGAGGAGGCAAGCACCAGAGCCTGGTGTGTGCGAGCCACGTGGTTATTCACAGGCTGTGTTGCAAGGCTGTCCCCTGGGTCAGGGTAGGGCCTAGCATTCAGTTGCAAGCTCTGCAGAGGCTCTTTCTTGACTCTCTGTAAGCAGAGAAGGGTTGTAAAGCTCATCTTCTGCTGGACAAAGAATCAGTCCTCTGCCTGCCCTTGTCCCATCCTGCTTTCCCCCAGCTCAGCTGCAGGTGTCAGCCGGAAGCTGAGAATGGGCTGACAGAGGTGAACGTGCAGCCCTGGGGCCAGCTGTCCCTGCTCTATGTACCCCACAGTTCTTGCTTGCCCTCCCCACAGGGGACCTAAGATTGCCACAGGCCACCTGGCTTCAAGCTTACGTGGTTCTTGAGCCCTCCTGGCTCTTCCCTGGCCAGGGCTATCAGCCAGGAGTGTTAGGTGAGAGCTGGCCTTGGAGTTCTGCCTATGGATGCTAAGGACACCGACGCTCCCCAGCCCTTGTGGGGCATGTGATCCATCCCAGCATGGCCCTTTTGGTCTGCTCTCCGCAGGGAACTGCTTATTCTTTGGCTGCCGACAGAAATCCAAGGACTTCTACTGCCAGTTGGAGTGGGAAGAGCTGGTGACAAAGGGCTTCCTGACGCTTTTTACGGCCTTCTCCAGGGACCAGGTTAGTTCCCGGAGGAGAAGGATGTACATGGAAACAGCCCAGGCAGCACTGACAGGGCGCTGCCAGTGTTTCTGGGCCCCTCTGCCCATTGGCATGGCCTGTGAAGGAACTGCTGGGATGGCATGGTGGTCGCCGTACTCCCTCACGCTACTGTGGTCCTGCTGGGGTGCAAGCCAGGGATCTCCACCAGGAGCACAGTGCTGCTGCCCAGCTGGGCACGAACTGGCTCAGTTGAGCTGGGAAGGTCACTGGGACAGGCTAGCAAGCGCCAGAGCAGAGAGGGTGTTAGTCAGCTTTGTTTAGCTGGAACACGTGAGTGATAAAAGGCTCCCAAGCCTCCCAGGAGGGGTCACCAGACAATACCCTTTTTCTGTTGAATGCCACCCTCTCAATTGCATCCCTCTGAGTGCTGGCTGAAGTTGAGCAGCTTATCCTCCTGTCCCGGCCCTTGGTACCTCCATAGTAGCTCTCCCTAGCCATACAGGAGAAAGCTCCCCAGAAGTGAGAGCACCTCAATACCTCAGCTGCTCCCTTTGCTCTCTCCCTTCTTTCCCAGGCTGTGTTTTCATTGGGCAGCTCTCCCTCTGCCTCTTTCTTCCCTCTGGGCTACAGGGTTTTTTCTGCTGGCTGGAGAGGCTCAGTGAACTGGGACATTTCTGTTTCACTGCCTAGCCCTCTCCCGTGCTGGCACTGGCACTGAAAGCTCAGCATGGCTTTGAAACAGAGGTGTCTGCCAAAAATGGTCAATGAGAATTGGTATTTCCGGGTAACTTAACTATACCAGACCTTTCTTCCTCGATGTGTGCACGCATTGACTTTAAGCCAACATCTGTTATCTGGTCACTTATAAGCATGAATTGAATCTCTCTGTAAAAGCTTTCCTACTCTTTGATTAACAAGAGCAGCATTGCTGAGGTTTGCTGGATGACTACTCTGCCTTTTTTTCTGATGGTTCACATAGTGAAGGGAGGACCTGCTGCTACCCAGATCTGGAGAGCAGCCCCAGAGCCGCCTCCTGCTCTCACAGACTCTGCAGGGACAGGACTTGTGTCTGTGCCTCCTGGCCTCCGTGCTTTGCCTGCTTCATGGGGCAAGGCTGTTTGATATGAGGGTCTTTTGCCATGGAGCCCTTGCAGTGCTGCACAGGGAGGTGAGTGGGAGTGCAGCCACGTAGCGTGTGCTGCATTAGGCTGCAGTGATTGCTATAGGCCTTGTACCTGCAGTTCTGGGGGATGCTGTGGATATTAAGCCATTGAGTTCTTCTTGTACTCTTTTTCAAAGAGCCTGGCAGGAGCTGTGATGCTACATAGCTGAGCAGGCTTCCCCTCTTCTCTCTGTAAGGTCACCTCTGTAGTGACCTTCTGTCACATCACTTGTGCCCCAGTGGTGCAGACTGATCCCCGCCTAATGCGACTGTCGTTAATTCTCAGCAGGATGCATTGGAGTTTAGCTGAGACACTGTGACCGGAGTTTGTCATCTGGGGTGCTGTGGTTTCCAGGTAGCTACAGGTCATTTAAGGACCTGCTCAAAGCCCCAGCCTCATCAGCAGAGTCTCTGTCAGCACTTAGCTGATTAACGCTAATGATGCTGAAGCTGAGCTACCAGCTGGCTGTGTTGGTGCTTGTGATGGGCTTGCTTACCTCCTGCAGCTCCTGTGGCTGGAGTCAGATCAGTAGAGCTATGCTCAGGGGTGACCTGGCTCTGTCTTTCTACAACACAACTGCTGTAGCTGTGTGAGACCAGCTGACCGTGGGGTGACCAGCTCTTGTGACAGCCAGGGTGGAAGGCTGTTTGGGGTGTTGCCCACGCACACCCCTGGACTAGCTCAGAGGGAGCCTGAAACCCAGCAAGAGCCTTTTTGCCTTTAGGGCTAGACAGGAGGGAGGAGGAGATGGGGTGGAGGCTAGGCTTGCAGTTCAGCTCACCATTTTGCAGAGTCTGGCACAGTGAGACCTGCAGCAGAGGGCCTGGCCTGCATCACAGTGTCACCTTTGTCACAGAGGAGCCATCCAGGCCGGCAGTGAATTCAAGCACATTGGCAATGGTGTTCCTCTTGGGCAGAAGCCAGGGCTGTGGGCAGTTGGTTGGATGGTTACAGTCTTGTGGGTTAACCCTTTGGGAACTTCCCTCAGCTGCTCTCTACTATGCTAAAAGCCTCTTATATCCAGTCTCTAACCACAGTGCAGGGGCAGGGAATGGGATTGAGGCTGTTCCTTGAGGCTTCCTGCCCTTTCAGACCTCCAGCTGGTGCTAGGGCTGGGACCGGCATCAAAAGGGTCCATGGGAGGAGGGTCTTCCCGCCCTTGTGCAGCCCTAGCACAGAGGTCCACAGAGCCTGGCTGCTTCTTTCCATGTTGGAATGGAAGAGAGCTGGGAGAGGAGAGGAGCGCTCCCAGGGGCACCCTGGCTCATAGCTTTGCAAATCCTTGCTGTTCACCAGAGCTGGTAGCAGACGGGGAGCAGTGAAGGGATCTCTCTCCCAACAGCCATTCAGGGAGCTTTCCCCACCAAAGCTCCCACCGCTGTACCCATCTCCCTCTGACCTGTCCCAGTGCACCTGCCCAGGGGCCTTAGGATCCCCTCTGTGCAAAAGAGTTGATTCAACTGCTTCTCTGAGCATCTGGTGCCCCCTGCTCTCCGAAGGGGCTGTACTCCCCTGAACTCTTGGAAATGACCCCTGGGAACAAACGGGCCATGCTCCAAGGGCCAGGCAGGCATGTGGGTGATGGGGATGCTACTGGGGCTGGTGGGTTCATCACTGTGTTTCCCTGCAGGAGGAGAAGGTGTATGTTCAGCACCGCATCCGAGAGAACCGAAAGCTGGTGTGGCAGCTGCTGAGCAGCAGGAACGCTCATGTCTACCTGGCTGGGTAAGTGCCTTGGAAGCACAGGTCTCCTCACAAGAGCTGCACGTCACTCAGGCTCTCTGGGCGCCTTTCCTTATCCCACCTCCCAGGAGGTCAGTTCAACAGCCCAGCGTCCAGAACAAGCACACCCTGCACCCCTGCAGTCCTCTGTGGGGCTGCAAGGCCCTGCTCCCATCAGCATGGACCCTCAGAGCCCTGGGCATGGCTGTTCCTGCAGTCACGCTGGTTGTAGCTGCACCATACTCAGCCAGGTCTCTTACAAATGGGGTCAGAGTGATCACTGGGGTGCACCTGAAAAGTTGGGGGTAGTGGTTCTGGTGTGAAAATGAATGTCCTGGATGAGGCTGTGACACCAAAGGTAGCTAATTGCTGAAACCCTGAGGGCTTCAGCTTGGCACGTGGTAACTGAAGAGGCGGAGAGTGAGAGGCGGTGTCACTCAGATTGTAGGCTCCTTGGCTTCTCACCCACGGCAAATGTGAATGTGGGAGAGTTCTGGCCATCTTCATACAGATCCTGTCTGGCGAGGCTTAGTGAAACTGGAACAAAAGCTTGTGTGGTTCCTGTGGCTGCTCAGGTGAGCAGGGGGCTTTCAAAGTGGTATGCAGCCAAGGCCTGCTCCTCTGTGCTGTGGCTTTTGAGCAATAGCTTTTGGGATCCTTGGCACATCCTGGCTGTCTCTTAGCACCTTCTTGGGACAGGCGTGGACGAGCCACTTTGAACCGCAGCCTGACTCCCTTGAGAACTTAGTCATTTGCTAAATGCTTTACCTCTGCCTTGTTCTGGTTTGAAATTTCCAACTGTTGTCCAAGAAGTAGTGTCTAGCTGTTAAAAACTGGGAGCAGTCAGAAGCAGAGGCCTGCAGCACCGCACCTGGCTCTGTGGCTATTTCACTCGGCAAGTCCCTTAACCCACCTGCCTTAGTCCTTGCCAATATGGTGGGGAGGGGGCCTGCTTGCCTGCTGCCCAGGGCATGGCCATGTGGTTGTGAAATGCTTTGGGTCCTTGAGCTCACGAGAAGCAGGGAATAGTGTTTGTCCTGAACCCCTGTGACCTGGAAAGCACTGAGCTGTGCCTTGCTGTCAACATGAACAGTTAATTGCAGGAGACTTTTTCCTGCTTGTCCTGCACGAGAGCGGGAAGTTCCCTGCTGCCTCGCAGGGTGAGACTGGCCTCGCTGCATTCCTGGGAGAAGGAGGTTTTTTGTTTACTGTGCAGGAAGTGTGGAGGCTAGGCTGCCAACTGCCCAGTAACTCAATCCTTTGCTGCTGCTTGGTCTGACATGCCTCATTGCATCGCAGGGCCTTCTAGAGGGCCTTATTCCAAACCTGTGATTCCTACCTACAGATCTGGGATTCAGGTTTGTTTTTCTCCCTCAGGTTACATTAAGGACAACATGTGAAGGTTGTACCTCCACCCACAGCCCAAATGCCAAGACTGCATTTGTTGGGCAGTCAGTTGGGGGCCCTGGCATGGTGTCCTGATGCTGCGCAGACCTGTGGGTCCGCCTGTGCCAATCCAAATTCCCTGGCAGTCTGACCACCCTTTTCCATGCTGTTTGCTACATTCTGGTGCTGAATGCTGGAGATGCTGTGGGATCTTCCAAGGAATTTGAAATGATTCCTCTTTCTCAGAGTCTGGAAAAGAGCAGAGGTTACATGGCTTCTCCTGTTGCAGGATTTTGGAGTAGCCGTAAGGATGCTATTTCCAGTGTCAAGGTTACCCTGAGACCCAGCTCACTGGCCCTAGCGTGGCCAACGGTCTTTGTCCCTGGCACTGGGGTGGCCCTCAGCCCTGATCAGGCAGATGTGATCTCAGAGCTTTGACCATCTCCGTTGCGTGAGTAGGCTGTCCTGTTCCCAGCAAACACTTTCCCACCCCTACGGAACAGATCATACCATGTATAAAGATGCCCAGGTTTGTGGTAGTCCTGCTCCCTGGCCTGCATACCTCTGTTGTAAGCTTCCATTTGACTGCTGGGATTTCACAGATTGCCGAAAGGGAAGGTGCAGGGGGTTGACCTGAAAATGGCCTTTTTTCCTAGAAATAATTCACAGGTTCAGCCATGCTACGAGAAAGGTGGCAAACTGACTCTTGGGCTGCGTATTGCGGACAAATGGCCCTGGGCCCTGTAGTGCAGTGTTCCTGCCTTCCCCAGGTTTTGCTGGCTGGGGCAGGGCCCAGGGAGCCAGGGCTGTATCTTGTCTTTAGCTGTGCCCCGCTCCTCTAGCCCATGGGATAAAATGTTAAAAATACATCTCGATTTTTGCAAAAGAGAGATATTTGACATGTTCTCCACTGCAAGCCCAGCTGTATTAGCTTCCACTTGCATATCAGTGCCTGAGTCAGAAGCAGTGCAACCCTTCCAAAAAAAGAAAACCTGCTTTCTGTATATTTTGGTACATTAATCAGCTTCAAATGCAAGTCAAAATTCTGCCTTATTCTTGGGGAACAGCAAGGACTTTGCCAAGTGTTCATGCCAGTTGGAGCTGCCTGGGAATTTTTTCCTTAGGTGTATTTTGTTGCACAGTCAGTCCATCAAAATGAAACTCTCTCCAGGAAAAAGTCTGAATTTCTTGTTTTCTACAAGAAATTGCATTTGGAATGATTGAATCCCACTTGAGCATTTTCTACATAAGAACTCGTGTTTACTTCGTTTCTTTTGATTTGAAGCTTTGGTTACAATTGTCGGCATCAAAACAAGTCATTTCAGATTTCCTGAAAGGAGGCATGTGGATGGACTCAAACGGCTGCGTTCTTTTGTATCCCGCTCAGGACCAGATATGTTTTCCATTGAATGTTTCCCATGGGATGAAAGAATAGTTTCTTGCCCTCCTGTGGATAAGTTATGACTTGTGCAGTCCCCGTTTCAGATCCCTGTCTGTGTCCATGTAACGATCCTCATAGGACATGAGGCAAAATGTTGGCCAGAGTTAAGGCTACCAAGCTAGGGTGGTCCTGGGTACCTAGGCCACCTCTTAATCTGCAAATGCCAGCACTTAAAAACTGTGTGTGGGTAACGGCATCACTTTCTAGGGAGTGGTGCTAGCTGCCGTTTGAACCCTGTCATTTATTCAGTTCCAGGGAGACAGTGTTGCCGGCTGAGGCAGGTTCCCCTTGCCCTGGTTCAGCGGCAGCCTCTGCAGGCTGGGGTGGGTGCTGGGATTCCGGCCACAGTGACACGACTGCCTTGCTGCAGCAGGAGCCAGTGTTTGGGCTCCTGGAGCTGCTGCCTCCCCTTTTTGGCGGCTACGGGTGTTGAATCCCAATGCCTTGCGGGCAGCAGAGTTGGAAGCAGCTCTTTGGAGCTGTGGTCCAGCTCCACAGCTCTCCTGCCTTGTTTGTGAGATGCAGCAGTGGTCTAAAGCAGGAGTAGCTGGTCCCCCTGCTCCTCTGGGCTGGGACAGACAGGGCTGTTCTCCGTGGAGCACTGGGGATGCTGATGCAGCCCCAGTTTTCCTGCTTGCCCTGCACCCCAGCACT